TGATGTAGTGCGCTGGTGAGCTGCCACGTAATCAATCCATCGGAATTTCCCCTTATCCAGTTTTTTTTTTTTTTTTTTTTTTTTTTGACGTGGCAACAGCAGCAACAACGTTTACTGATTGATGCGGTCAGATACGTTTCATGTAGAGTTTTTGTTCTTTCTCTTTTTTTTTAAGTTCATATTGAGATTGAGTAGAAAGGCGCTTGTATTAAAAAAAAAAAGAAAAAAGGCGCTTGTCCTTTCTTATCCACGTGGCAAACGGTTAACGAACGGGATAACGCTGTTTATCATTTTTATTTTTTTATTTTTTTTGGAAAGATTTAAACTTTATTACAACAAAGCCAGTTGTTGAGGCCGGGGACCTCACAATTTGTTTATTACTTTCGAAATTGCGCTTAAAAAAAAAAAGAAAGGCGCGAAAAAGGAGGTCTCGCCGACGGTTTTGTTTTTTTTCTCAGGTTTGGTTTGGAACAGAGGTTTAAATGAGGACCAGGTTCGTGAAACAGGTTTGCAACAAGGTTGGAACAAGGTTGGAACGAGTTGGGAACGGGTTTGGAACCCAGGTTTGGAACCCAGGTTTGGGACAGGTTGGGAACGGGTTTGGTTGGGTATAAGGTCTGGATAAGGTTTGGACGGAGCACCTCCTGAGCACGCACGGCACACGGTGTGGATCAGGCTTGGAACAGATTTGGAACAGATTTGGAAGCAAGGTCCATCACGGACCACCTCCTGACCACGGCACGTGAGGTGGAACAGGTTTGGAGCCCAGGTTTGGAACTGGAACAGGCTCGGGACAGGTTCGGACTACAGTTTTGGACCGGGTTCGGACTACAAGTCATCTCACGGGTTCAGCGAAGGTTCAGCCAACAGTCAGCGAAGGTTCAGCGAACGTTCGAAGGTTCAGCGAAGGTTTAAGGTTTCGTCAACAGGTTCGGTAATCCGAGCACAGGCTCAGCCAAGGTTCGGGGAACAGGGTCCGGGATCCGGCTCAGCGAAGAAGGTTCAGTTCGGAAATCCGAGCACAGGCTCAGCGAAGGTTCAGCGAAGGTTCAGCGAACAGGTTGGCGGAAGGTTCGGATTATTGTCAGCGAATGTTCGGAACGGGCTCTTGGAACAGAACCTGCTTGCTGACTGGAACCGAGTTGTAAAGTTTTTGGGGGAAAAAAAAAAAAAAAAAAAAAAGGGTAGTAACAGATTGGAACGGACAGGGTGGGAACACGTTTGGGACAAGTTGGGACCAGAGCAGAGGTTGTGGAACACGGTCGAAGTCGGAAGGGAGACGTTATTTATTTATTTATGATCATTAATAATAATGATTAGACCGGAATGAATTTGTGCGGGATTTGCGAGAAGATACATGCGCATGATAATGGGACAACACGTCATCCGTCATTGGAATCTCACACTGCGCTAGCAATCGGGCTCTGCTGACAAAATCGAAAAAGGATCTTGAGAGTGAAAATGATATATAATGTATATATATTAGATCGGATTTTTTTTTTTTTTTTTTTTTCCTTCTCGGTAAGAAGCCTCTGTCGAGTTCCCCTCTCTCAAGGAACATGACCGCTGACGACGCAATCTGTAAAAATCGGTAAATTATTAATAGATAGTTACTCTTTTTTTTTTTTTTTTTTTACTCACTAATTTTGTTTTTATCCGTTTTCTCTCTTAGAGAGGAAGTCATCATTATTCCTGAGCAGAACCCAATTAAAAAGAAAAAAATAAATAAATCCTGAGCTCTTAAAAAAAATCCTTGGGAACTGATACTCGCAGTAAGGCAAAGGCGCTTTTTTTTTTTTTTTGTTTTTTTTTTGTTTTTTGAACTACAGGCAAGGAATTCGGACGCGACTTGAGAGGCGAGGAATGTCCGATTTTTTTTAAACAAAAATTAAACGTCCAGAACGGGAAATTTCAGACACGACAAAACTTCCCAAAAATGTCATCAAGTTGACATTTCATTTCAGAAATTAAATGCTGGACTCTTACTTAGTCTTTTTGTCGTTTTCTATCTTTTTGTCTTTTTCTATCTTTTTGTCTTTTTCTATTTTCTCCAGATAATTGCGTCGAGGGGTGCTATTTTCTTCCTGCTTCTACTACCCCCCACCCCCCCCTCTTTTCCTTTTTCCCAGAGGATGGGGTGCAGCCAGCATCCCCCCCCCAAAAAAAAAAAGTTCCTTCCTCCTTCTACACCCCCCCCCAAAAAAAATGTTCCTTCCTACCGGTAGTGTAGTGTTTTTGAGAGGCGAAAGCAGTATTAAAACATTTTCAGACTAGGATTCTGGTGGATGTATGTGATCGTAAGGGCGTCCAGCTTCCGGCACAAAAAGGTTGTTGGTGTGAGGAAGCCTCTCTCTTTTTCAGTGTGCAATCTTCTTTCTTGTCGGTTTGGTAATGGCGGGAAAAGGTAGAGAAGACACGTCAGAAATAGGGGTCATATGGATAGCGGCGGGAAAAGGTAGAGAAGCGACGTCAGAAGTAGGGGGGGTCATATGGATATTGGCGGGAAAACGTAGGCTAGCGCATTGAGACATTGCTGGCGGTGATGATGACGTGTACAGGGGGATGATTGATAGATTGATTGATTGATGACGTGGCAGCTATGACGTGTACGCTGATCAGCTCGGTCTCTCTCCAGTATAGCGCGGTGGCGTTCAGGAGCAAAGGGCTGCATTTTGTTAATTGCGCGCCAGTTTTTTTTTTTTTTTTTTTCTTTTTGCCTACTGGTTCGTGGAGGAGGTAGGTTTTTGCTTCTTTTTTTTTTTTTTTTTTCGTTTGTTTGGGTGTCCTACGACGGCATTGGTCAGAACGTGTCCCCTCCAAAAAAAAAAAAAAAGTATATCTGTTTGAATATATATATTATGTATATATTTATTGCGATCGGGGTCGTGCGAGCTATGGAAATGACGTGTACAATCGCGTCGGGATCGGGGTGGTGATGGATACGTGCGTCTGTGCAGCAGCCAACAGCCTGCGCAACGAACACTTACCGGTTGGTCGAGATCGGGATTGCCGGAATCTTCGGCTTGCTACGACTGAGTGATGACGTGTACGGTCGGGATCGATATGATCTCGTGCACGATCGGGATCGATATGATCTCGTGCACGATCGGGATCGTCCGTACGGGCGGTGAGCACGTGTACGATCGGGATCTCGTGCCTTGCGAATCTTGAGCGATGACGTGTACTACGGGCGGGATCTCGTCCCTTAGGAGTGTTTTGAGTGATGACGTGAAACGGTCGGGATCCCGACGTTGCGATTGGAAGGGAAGGTGGGGTTGGGGTGTGGGGGAGTGCTAGCACGTGATGCATATACACAGCGGCCCGCGACTTGCGAAACGACAAAAGGGTTCAGATCCCAATTGGAAATATTGTAAACGCGGCTTGGCTTCGATCGACGAACCGACGGGATCGTCGGCCCTTAGGTTGTGGTAGAGGATATATATATTCACAATGTGACAAGAGAGAGAGAGAGAGAGAGAGAGAGAGAGTACGAGTGAATGCCAGGTGGCGGAGGATTGTACGTGTGACTGCCACGCGTCGCGTCGCGTCGCGGTCGGGATCGGTAGTCGTGGGGGCGATTTACGTGGGGACGGTCGTATGACACGTGCGGAGTGGCGGCGAGTTAGTGGCGCGAGATCGAGAGAGGGATCGGGATTGCGACGAGCGTGTGAGGCGAGTACGCGTAATCGGGATCGGTACTCGTGGTGGAGAATACGTCGTCGCGGTCGGGATCGGCACTCGTGGCGGCGATTACGTGGACGGTCGTGCGATCGTGTGAGTGGCTTGGACTAATTATTTTGCCGCGATCGAGAGCGGGATCGGGATTGTGACGACTGTGTGGAGGCGACTAATTATTGCCGCGATCGAGAGAGGGATCTAGATTGTCACGACTGTGTGGAGGCGACTAATTACTGGCGCGATCGAGAGCGGGATCGGGATTGTGACGAATGTGAGGAGGCGATTACGCGGAACGATGATGATGATGATGATGATGATGATAACGTCGCGATCGAGGTCGTCGTGCGTGTGAGGAGGGAGCGAGGTTGATTGATTACCCCTGTGTGCACGAGCGTGTCCCGAGTGCTGTTAGAGATCGTGTATATCCCTCTCGTATAACCTATCACGTCACCGTCGGGATCATCCCGGCTTGGATCGGGATCGTGGCGAGTGGAGGCGGCGCGATCATTACGTACGTGTACGAGCGTGTCGCGTCGCAATCGCGATCGGGATCGGCGTGTGCGCGGTGGGAGGTGGGATCGATCATGCGATAGCATCGATTCACGTATAACAATCAATCAATCAATTAATTTCTGGCGCGGAATGCTGGGGCGGGATGGCTTGGGCTTGTGGCAGATACCTTCTTCCTCCTCCGACGAACACAACTCACCCTCATCACGACGGTATCCGACCGGAAAGATAGCTTGTATTCATTCGCTATCACATTCAATTTCTCGGAGGCACAGACGGTATCCTTTTTTTTTTTCTTTTCCCTCTTTCTTCTAACCTAAACGAGCACAGAGTCAAAATTCTTCCCGCCAAAATTCTCGCGGTATAGACAAAATTCTTCCCGCCAAAATTCTTCTAACCTGAACGATCACACACATCTACACACACACACACACACACACACACAGAGTCAAAATTCTTCCCGCCAAAATTCTCGCGGTCGGTCATCTTCCTGGAATCGCTGCCCGTGGGCTGTTTGTGTGAGGGGGGGGAGGTGGGGAGGGAGAGCGAGAAGAGTTTGATAAATAGAAATATATATAGGTTGTTTTTTTTTGGTTTTTTCGCTTAGGCGCTCTGATATCATGTGACAATATATATATCTCTCTCTGTCTATGTATATATAGAGAGAGATTAGTGGGATCTCTGCTTTTGGCGGGAGGTAAGGGTGACTTTTGGCGGGAAGTAAGGGTGATTTTTGGCGGGAAATACTACCTAGTTATAGTTCACCTGCTCTCTCTCTCTCTCTCTCACACACACACATTCTGAAGACCTCTCTCTCTCTCTCTCTCTCTCACACACACACACACACACATCAACATGGGGCTTATGTGCTCGAGCGCGAGATGGAGCGGGATGGCGGGAACGCAGAGCGACATGGAATGGCCAGATAAGGATCCCGACAAGGTGGAGTTTAGTCACCGGCATCAGGGGGCGATCATCGTCGAGCGGGGAGGAGGGGAGAATGGGAGAAGGAGGAGATCGCGACCCATGAGTCGATTTCGTCGCCTCCTGTCGCTTCGCCGGCTCGCCCTCTTCTCCCGCGGCTCTCATCAGTCGGGATCTCGGTCTCCCGCGCTGCTTTCGGATCTCTCGTCCCGATCCCTGTCCTCTTCGTTCGACACGTCGGACGGGACGTACGGATTGGAGTGTCATTACGCCGACCTGGGCCAGAGCATCTTGGATATCCTGCTGTGGAGACGGCCGATGACGACGCTGCTGGCCGTTGCATGTGGCAGCTTGATGTATTACCACGTGGTTTTCCGCCACAGGTCGATGGTCTCCTTGATTGCTGACGTGGCACTCGTGCTGGCCTGCGCTACGGTCGTCTTGTACCATTTGTCGAATCTGTTCTCGTCGAGCTTGAAGATGGATTTGGCGGGAAAGTGGGAGCTGTCTGAAGATTCGGCCTATCGGATAACGGCTTTTGGCGCGAACACGATCGGCGCGGCCGAGGGGGTTATGAGGATAGCAGCGAACGGATCAGATTACAAGTTGTTTGTCAAAGTGATGATTGCGCTTTGCTCGATGTCGTTGATTGGCAGAGTGGTGTCGGGACCAACCTTCATCTTCATCTGTATGTGGATGCTTTTTACCATCCCGGTGATTCTGTCGTGGGTTGGGATCGAGACAGATCTGTGCTTCGGTCGACGACCGCTGCTTCTCGGGAACATTTATCGGTCGCCGACCGGCTCGTCACGATCTACTGCTTTCCCAATCATCGAGAGCAGCAGAGCTCTTGATGTTCATGCGCATGCCGATGCTGCTACTGATGATGATGATGATGATGATGATGATGATGATGGTCATGATGATGATGATGATGGATTTCTAGGTTACTCTTATTAGAAAAGAGATGTGTGTGTGTGTGTGTGTGTGTGTGTGTGTGTGTGTGTGTGTGTGTGWGAGAGAGAGAGAGAGAGAGAGAGAGAGAGAGACGGTGATTGGCAGGAGAAGAAAAAGTTGGCGTGGGGAGAGATGATTGACAAACACGTAGTCGGCGAAGACTGACACATTTTTTACTGCCGTAACTGTAAATTACACAGCCGGCTGTAATTTACCAACGGCGGCGAAGACTGACCTTCATCTTTTACTGAGGAGGAAAGTTACCGGAGGCAAGGGAATGATTCGCACTCTGTCACAGCCAAGTTCAATCACAATCGAGTTTCTCTTCCGATTGTGTGCTTTTGAGAGAGAGAGAGAGAGAGAGACAGGTCTTCAGAACGTGTGTGTGTGTGTGTGTGTGTGAGAGAGAGAGACAGGTCTTCAGAACGTGTGCGTGTGTGTGTGTGTGTGTGTGTGTGTGTGTGAGAGAGAGAGAGAGAGAGAGAGAGAGATGTGGTCACAGTAATTCACAGAAAGCCGAGGAAAGTGACTGTAGGGTAACGGTAATTTCCGAGACATTTATTTATTAGAGAAGAGGTGAAGATACCGTCGGGATTGATCGCCATCATATGAGTGAATCATGAGCGAGAGATCAGCGAAAGATGAGCGAAAGATGAGCGAAAGATCAGCGGAAGATCAGCGGAAGATCAATCACAATCAGCACGCGAAGATGTCATGTTGAAGCCACGTCAGCATTTGGGGTTCGTTTGACGAAAATGGACAGGTGGCTTTTTCGACGGAGGGGACATTCACCCGGGCTTGGGAGTTGGTTTTTGCGGATTATGTCCAGATTCCGTGTGGTATCTGAACCACAGTGAGAGTTGTTCCCACGGTCGGTAAGTGGCAATAGAGCCGGTCATTGGAGGCCGGGACCGCAATCAAGATCGTCGGAGAGCAATTCCATACAGAGAGAAGCGATGAATGTATCTGACCGGATTCACGGGCAGATTCAGATTCCCGAAAAGAGGAGCAATCACAATCAGCAATACCATGCAGAGAGAAGCGATGAATGTATCTCACCGGAGTCGTGGCCAGATTCAGATTCCCGAAAAGAGAGTAATCACAATCAGCAATACCATACACAGAGAAGCGATGAATGTATCTGCCCGGATTCATGGCCAGATTCAGATCCCGAAAAGAGGAGGAATCACAATCATAAGCTGTACTGTACAGCAGAAGATGCCCGCCAGTTGACACTGGCGGGGGGAGCGTTCCTGGATGGGTGTATCTGGCCGTAATTGTCGCCACATCCAGTACGTAGGGATCTTCCCGGTATATAACCGTGGCTGAGGAGGGAGGGCGCTGACGCTGACATTGACGCTGACTGATGTGCTTTCCTGAGTGTCTGTATCTGACCGTCCTCAGGGCAAGATGCAGACAACTTGGTCATTTTTATCTGGCGTCGTTCTGAATCTGGCCATGAATCCGGTCAGATACATACACCCTGGAAAGTCCAGCACCGAGCGAGCTCCCTCCTCGGTGTTGCCATAGTGATTGACAAGAAGCTAATTCGTCCATCCATCCACTAATTAATCACTCAATCACTCAATCAACCAATCAATCAATCAATCAACCAATCAACCAATCAATCAACCAATCAACCGATCAATCAATCAACCAATCAACCAATCAACCAATCAATCAGTCGATCGATCGATCGATCAATCAATCAATCAACCAAGCAATCAATCAACCAATCAATCAATCAAGCAAACAACCAATCAGTCGATCGATCAATCAATCAAGCGTAGTCAGCGAGGGAGCTTTGGCGGGAGGTGTATGACAGAGGGCGTGCTCACAGTAGAGCTTTTCTGGATGTATATGACCGTAAATATGGCCAGATTAAGTCAAACCTTCGAACCATCAATCAATCAATCAATCAATCAATCAATCAGTTAATTAATAAGTGAATCCAATCAATAAATGACAGTAAACGAGGGAGCTGTGGCGGGAAGATACGGACTGTGTGAGGTAGAGAGGTGCCTTAGGCGGGTGAGTGGGTTCTCGCACTAGAGCTCTTCTACATGAATGGGACCGCAAATGTGACCCGATTCACTGGAGAAAGTGCTGACGGTGGTTGCAAGTTTTGCCCTCAAAACTGTACTCCGGCTGAATCTGGCCTTGATTTCGCACAAATACACGTCCCGGGATGTCTCTGTACGAGGAGTACGCACGCCCTTTGGAAGGTAGGTAGATTCATACTGGGTAGCCCGTTTCCTGGACGTATCTGACCGTATTTCATGACCAAATTCAGTTCAGAAGAAGCTCTAGTGTGAGTGATTAATCTGGCCTTGATTTCGCCCAAATATACGTCCCGGGAAGTCTCTGTACGAGGAGTACGCACGTCCTTTGGAAGGTAGGTAGATTCATACTGGGCAGGCCGTTTCCTGGACGTATCTGACCGTATTTTATGACCAAATTCGGTTCATCAGAAGCTCTATTGTGAGTGATTATGCTTTTCGAAAGAGTCGGTCGGTCGATCACAGATCATGATGACAACCACCGCTCGGATTCGTACAGTCCCGATCCCTACAATCTCGATTCGCAGAGTCTCAATCCCTACAGTCTCGATGCCTACAATCTCGGTCCGTACAGTCTGGACCCCCCCTACGGTCCCGATCCCAAGTCTTACTAATGATTATGTGACCGAGTGAGCCGCATATTTTTTTATTTTTTTTTTTAAATCAAAACCAATTTCAATTACTCGGTCATGCCGCATTTTTAATAAGTTTTTTTTTTTTTTCTTTCTTTCCTTGTTTCTTCTGATTTTTGTCTGTTCTCTTCCTCCTGCCCTTTCTTTTTTCTTTTTTTTAATTATTTTTACCGGCATTTGTCTTTTTTTTTTTTTTTTTTTTTTTTTTTTTTTTTTTTTTTTTTTTTTTTTGTTGGGGGGGGTGGATCGCGGTCGGGGGGGCGGCGCAGCGTCAGAACCACGAGGCGGTCCCCAGGCAGACGTTTTTTTTATTTTTTTTTTTTTTTCTGACGTGGCAACAGCAGCAACAACGTTTACTGATTGATGCGGTCAGATACGTTTCATGTAGAGTTTTTGTTCTTTCTCTTTTTTTTTAAGTTCATNTTTTTTTTTTTTTTTTTTTTTTTTTTTTTTTTTTTTTTTTTTTTTTTTGCGTCTGTTCCCTGCCACTTCCCCTTCATATTTTCCAAGAAGAGTGATGAGATTTGACAGGAGCGGGAAAAAAAAAGGAAAAAAAAAAAAGAGCAGAATTTAATTTGGAACTAGCGGTCATAGGCGCTATGCGCGACCCTTATCTTGTCGCAGATTCGGTCCCGTCAATAGGACCTGTCCCGATCCCAATTCCTGGTCAGTGTATCTACGATCTTTTTCTTTTTTTTCCCCTCCCCCTTTTTTCTTTTTTCCTTTACCTAATTGAGATTTTTCTGTTTCTTTTAAAAATTATGAGGTCTTGACTGAACTGAGAAAGGAAAGTAGGGTAGGTTCTTCTTCTTTATTTATTTTTATTTATTTTTGAAAGTAGGGTAGATTCCGTGCTGAGTTGGTAAGGAGACATCTGATTTAGGGGGAAAAAAAAAGAAAGAGCAGCTGCTGCTTCAGCGGCTACTGACACGTGGCAGTCGCCCGCTCTATCCTAGCCCCACGCGCGTGGGTTATCTTATCTTTGCAACGTAATGGGAATGCTATGTGCTGCTATGTGCGACACAGTCGACATTCCTCTTCTCGACTTTGCCGAGATACGGACGATGCTATGTGCTATGTTGTGCTATGTGCGACCTTCCATCCCATCTGCTGCAGTTTGCGGACCGATCAGCTATGTGCTATGTGCGGCACACCTGTCTCTGCTGCACTTGGCGGTGGATGCTATGTGCTATGTGTGATGTGCGACCTCCCATGTGCTATGTGCTATGTGCTATGTGCTATACCCATCTCGGCTGGACTTGGCGGATATCGAGGTACTATGTGCTATGTCCTATGTGCTATGTGCGACCTTCCATTTGCTGCACTTGGCGGACCGATGTGCTCGACTTGGCATTTCGAAATGCGGATGATGCTATGTGCTATGTGGGACACCCATCTCTGCTGCACTTGGCGGTGGATATACTATGTGCTATGTGCTGTGTGCGACACGTCATCAGCTGCAAGTTCTGCCCGATATGCGGAGGATGCTATGTGCGACACCGGCTGCTGCACTTGGCTGATATCCGGTCACTAAGTTGTATGTTGTGATGTGCGCCACCCATCTGCTGCACACATAGCACATTGAGCACATAGTATCCGGATATGGACGATGCTGTCTGTGCTGCCCACACCCATATGCTGAACTCCCATCCGGATATGGGCAATCCGGATATGGACGATGCTGTTTGTGCTGCGACGGTAGCCTGATACTATGTGCTATGTGCGACGATGTGCGACGATGTGTGATCTGCTGCATTTGATCGGTGCCATTTGATCGATCTGTGGATAAGCTGACACGTGGTCAGCATTTCGTCAAGATGGTTGTGTGCAATGCTGACACGTGGCAGACACGTGCTCAACATGCTGCAGTCTGCAAGTTGGTGGTGCGGTCGCTTGGGCGATGAGCAAGCGCAACAGATGCGACAACGTGGAAGGAGATGGCAAATGCGGTACCCATCTGCTGCTGCTGCTGCTCCTGCTGCGTCACTTGGCCAATGAGCGAAACCCATCAAGGCTGCAGGCCATGCAAACTGGCGACACGTGGCAGTCGTCGGGTCAATCACCAGGCGGTCACGTGCGTGGGTAATCTCGCAGCGACAATGGTATTTGCCATGCGCAACACCCATCTGCTGCAGCCGGCACCCATCTGCTGCAGCCGGGCGACACCCATCTGCTGCAGCCGGGCGACACCTATCTTGCTGCAGCTGTGCGACACATGGATTAACGGACTGAAGATCACCAAAGCCAATGCTCGGGACACGTGGCAGGAGGAAATTGTAAAATTAGTAAATTAATAAAAATTAATAAAAATTAATACTTTTTTAATTTTTTTACGAGTCTGATAAATGCAACTAATTTCTGTGGATGGCAGATGCTTTTTGG